TTGTTGGTACTTTATTTAATTTAACATACTTTTCTTTATTTGTTTCTCCACTCATTTTTTTCCCTTTCCCACCCACCCTACTTTTTTCACTTTGCTTGTAAGTACTTTTTGCACTTTCTTCATATTCAGAATCCATGGCATAATCGGTGATGTAATCTTGTTCTTCCATCATAAATAGATCTTCATAATCTATTGTGTTGTTAATTCTTGTCTCTCCATGATTATTATATTTAAAGGTAAAATATTGCAAATCAGGTGAAGAGTTATCATTAGCAGCATTATACTCATCATTAGAAGTATCATTATCACTATCAGACATAATATAAGCTGTTTTTTTTTTATAAAAAAAAAAAATGTAGAGAATTAAAAAATGTCGATATTTATTCAAAGAACATTTTAAAAGTTTGTTGAAACTTATTGTTTTTGTTTGTGGCAAAGATATATCAAAACAAGTATAGCAGTTACATGTGCATACACTGTGCTACAAACAATAGGGGGGTAGTTTTAGTAAATTTTAATGGTAGTGTGGACAATTTGCTGGGAACCCAAAATTTGAGGCAAATTTGTCCCAAAAATGGACTAAAGGATAGTATAAAATTGATTTTCTGTTTTAATATTTAAAATTTCAATATTTCAACTTTAACTACTGTGAATACATGAAAAATTCAATATTTTGCTTTTGATTTTCACATATGCATGTAAATTTTCGCCAAGTTTCAAGCAATGATCATATTATTCATTTTTTGATTACTCATACTGTATAATCATTGTTGCAGCTGATGCTGAGATCAGCTAATGTAAAAAAATTTTAAAATTTTTAGGGCATATTTTTTCAGCTTTTTTTTTTCTTGAACTAGAAAAAGCACATGTGGGAGGCTTTTCACCCAGTTCAACATTATAACAATTAGAATAGCAGGTAGGATATGATAACTAAATAGTTTTACTAATAATTTAATTATGCATATAAAATTTAAATTTTTTTAAAAGGTTTTAAATTTATATAATTTTAAAGTAAGTAGAAAACTTTGGTACTCAGCACATGAAACTAGTGTAAAAATAAATGTGAAAATATATAATGAATGTTGTTTATTTTAGATTTGACAATTTTTTATATAGTTTTAGCCTCATTTGTTTGGCCACTTCACATATCGTTTAATATTTTTTTGTTATTGACAAATTCTTTTTATATAATTTCTGGTTTCTCATTGTACTGGTTCTTTTTTTTTGAACCCAATCTGTATTACATTTATAATGTAATATTTTTTACAGCATATTTTTTTCTATAGCATATTTTTTTCTATAGCATATTTTTTATTACAGCATATTTTTTTCTACAGCATATTTTTTTTTACAACATATTTGTTAGCCTCGCTTCATTTCAAAGTTCCCACTTTATTTCTTTTTTACTAAATACTAGAAATCACTTATTCAGATGCTTTACCACCCAGTTTCAACTTTAGATGTAGTAGGCGGTGTGATAATAGCATAATATTACCAATTGTTGTGCAGGTCTTATATAATGATCCGTAATTTTTTCGCTCATTTCAACATGTGTTTAAAAACTTAACTAATAAAATATGAAAATGTTCTGATTAAATTATTAAATTCACGTTTTTAACATTGTTGTTACTGAATTAGGCCTTAATTTTTTAAATTGTTATTGGACGTCAACATTAGTTTGGGGGGTTTTTTTTTAAAAATTGTCTTAGACTGATTATTATATAATTAGTTTTTCTTTAACATATCATTGAATGAAATTAGGCATTATTAGATCTTCATTTCTAAATTCTTATTAAACAGAATCGCATATTTTTAGATCTTTCTTTTTTAAACTTCATATTTTTTCTTTAAAATTCTTACTAAAAAGAATCACGCGTTTTTAGATTTACTTTAAAAACACTTGTTGGATGAAGTTGCTCATATTTTCACTTTCTTTAATTCTTGTTAGATTGCATCATATATTAGTGAATTTCAAATTTTTTATTTTTTTTTTATTTTTGAATTTGCTGTATACAGGAAGAGATAATTACAAGTTTATATCAAGATGATATATAAAAAAAAAACTATCTACTATTTCTTGTATAACCACCTAAGTGTAGCAAATCACCTCTTAATTTTCTATTTATAAACTAACTTAAGACTAGCTACTATTAGTTTTAGAAGTGGGAAAGAGGAGGCCCAGATTAATAAAAGTGTTTAAGTTTAATGAAGTATAAGAAAAGAGAAGAATAAAAGTAAAAAACAATAAAATAAAAT